AAAATTACGTATGTAAATTAGATTAGTAAGCAAAATGTACAAGACTACACTATAGCAAATTTAAATAATAATAATAATGTGCAACTATAGCAATTAAAAAAAATAATAATAATAATAATGATCAATTTGGCGTGAGGCATGATTTTTTTGCTTGTGTAGTCATTGTTATTAGTGTAGTCATCGTTATTTTTTTTTGCTAGTGTAGTCATCGTTATTGATGTATTCATCGTTGTTAGTGTAGTCATCGTTATTTTTCTTTGCTAATGTAGTCATCGTTATTAATGTAGTCATCGTTATTAATGTAGTCATCGTTATTTTTTTTTGCTAGTGTAGTCATCATGATTTTGACAATTGTGTGAAAAAAACCATATCGCTATGAAAGTTAACTCTTTAAATTATAATATAAAAGAATACTGGCCAGAAGGTAAGAATTAGCTAAGAATTATTTTTTTAAAAAGAATATTAATTATGTCTAATTACCAACGAGGACAAGCCTTTGAACAAGAAATTTATGAATATTTGATCGCTTTAGGAATTAATTGTTGGCGGATTCTGTGAGTATTTTTTATTCATTAAGTATTTGTTGAGTTATTATGTATCTGAAGTTACGCTGCCACTAGATGTAAAATCAGAGAATTTGAAAGCACTTCGAGGCCATATTTTTTAAAAAAAAATATGAACGTTCATTCTCTGTATTCGAAGAGGATCTGGGAAGTTAGGACCAAGTCCCTGTGGTGAATAGGATACATGTATTATTTTACCTTGATAACGATGACACAAATATTTATTTATATTTTTTAAATTAATAGATGTTTACAAGGTGACGGTGGTCGTGATTTAGAAGGAGAGATTACAAGAACTCCAATTGTTTTTCAGCTTAAAGATTGGGAAGTAAGAGTTTGTGTAGATGTGGTCCGTGATTTAGAAGGTAATTATAATAATTTAAGATATTTTTTAATATAATTAAATTAATAATTGTTTTATTTTTTAGGGATTCTATCACGGTACCCTATAGAAACAATTGGAGTTCTTGTAACTTCAAGAATAGATGGATTTTTGGGAGGTGCGATACATAGAGCCGAAACATCCAAGTTTAATATATTATTAACAAATAGACAAAATATTATTATAGATTTATTGTATATTATTAAACAAATAGAGGATAAAAGGATAAAAAATATTAAAAATGAAAAAAATAGATTTGAAATTAGCTTAGAATTAGAAAATAGATTAAAAATAGAAAGAATAGAAAAAAATAGAAAAGATAGATTATATAAAAAAAACAATTTATTTTTTCTTTTTTATTTGTATTTTTAGTATTTTTTTATTTTTTAAAGTTAAATCATTCTCAATAAATATTGAATTTTATTAATTTCATAAAAAAAGAAGATTGTGATATATATTAAATTATAATTTCAATTATTTTATTCGATATATCTTGAATTTTTTAGAAAAAATTTTAATGCTTTTTCTTTTTATCGTAAATGTAATTTTTATTATTTACCAGTATTACTTTTATTTTATTTGATGGCGTAGCAAATTTAAAGACCAATAAAATTTTTTTATAAATGAATACTAGAGCGTAAAATTCTCTAACATTTTATAGACAAGTCCTAGTAAGAATAATAAGATCGATATAATTAAATTTCCTTTTATATTTAATTACCATTAGATTTAATAGTAAATTATCCAATAAAAAAAAACAGACTCACCCAGTATTTTTAAATAGTAAAATATCCAGCACAAATTCTCCCATTCGGCAATGTAATTATTTATGTGCAGCAGCGCATAAAAAATAGTTATTTGATTTTTTTCTCCAAAAATAAAAATGAAAAAAATACAAATTCAAGTAAATTTTAAAATTTTAATTATTTATTAAAAAAATAATTTCAATATACAATAACAATCAGAAATAATACAATAACATTAAAATTTACTAATTAAATATAGTAAAATACAGGTTTTCTCTTTATATAAAAGTTTTCAATTTTATTAATAAATATTTTTTATTTTTATATTAAAATGAAAATAATATTACATATTTTAACATATATTTTTTTCAGATTTTTTAGA